AGGGTTTCAACTATTACCCGGTTTTATATAATTTATTCTGTTGTTGATTTTTTTAAACTTTATTTTTGGTTTCCTCTAGCTTAACGAGTTTTGGCGGTCTAGTGTAAGACATCAATACACACGTTTTAAACATATTTTCTTTGCATCTCTAAAATCCTAGAAACTTTTTTTTTATTGTTTGCAAATAGAGGTGTCAAAACATTTCTAATATTTAGATTTTTTTTTTTCACTGGAAGATATTTATATTATCGGAACCAAATTACAAAGTCGGATACACCGAGAGCGAAATCCTAAAATTTACAGGGGAGCGAAAATCAAACGAACATAAATCTAAAAATTACAGCCACCACTAAATAAAATTATAAAAGAGACAGTCATATCCCACGGAGTGCGTAGAAAGAGCAGAAGACACGGAACAACGAAGCTCACCAGACATCGATCATGTTGGGGGAAACCGCGTAGAAAGAACCCAAATACATCGAATAACCAGAACAAATAGCCATGAACGGAAATCTAAACTCTTACCCACGTAATCTTCACCCAAAAGAGTCTAATTCGAGAACTATGCGTCCCCACAAGAGGTTAGCCTTACAAGAATCGACAAAGAAGACTAAGGACACAAAGACTAATTATTGACTAAACTAAGAACGGTAAAAGGAGCTAGAGAAAGATTCACCAAGATAAAATAAGCTAATCGAAGAATACCCAAATTAACCAACACCACGCACACACAAGCAGAAGAAACACGACAGCAACCTCATAATCTTAAAGAGAGGAAAACAAGTAATTTCCAGACCATCAAAGCACTAACCATCTAAACAAGCAAATAAGCAGTACTAAAAGACATAACCCAACCCAATAATCTAAAACAAAGACAAGGCCAAGAGGAACAAACCAAGAAGAGGAACGAAGCCAAAGCCGTCGCTCGCCTCACCAAACCAGAGACCGAAACAGGACACAAACAACCGCAATCCTACAAGAGGAACATAAAGCAAGTCTCGATGTCTACCAAGCCGCGAACCACAAATCCTACTCCTAACTCGACGAGAAGGGACACAGGCGGTGAGGAAACAGAAACCCCAGATCCAGAGGACAAAAGAGGATCCACAGAGCCGGACCACACCCTACGCCGATAAGGAGCCGGAACTTCATCAACCACCGACTGAGCCCTAAACGGATATGAACCCGCAACCATCACCGATCCACAACCTCTTGAAATGAAGACCAAGGCCCAACTATTGGAGATCTATAGGCTGGAAACCGAGCAAAGAAACATATAAAAACTATTGACAAAGAAAGAACCCATGGAACCGACACCGGCGCTTTGGAAGCCGCCGGTCACCGGTCGGAAACCACCAAATCTCGTTGATGGGTACTGTAGCGGTGGCTGTCCTCTAGAGAGAAAATTGTCTAATATTTAGATCTTATGTATGGCTTTTGCTTTTGTATTGTTTGTCTTAATCTTTTAAATTTTTATGTCACACTTCTATTATTACTGGGCCAATAAGAATTTGTTATTTGTGTAGGATCTACGAGAGCTTTCTCTCTCTAAAAACATCATAATCGCCGTCAAAATTAAAAGCTCGAAGGGGCCTGCGTTTTTCGTCGTCGGTGGCTTTCAAAGCGCCGGCATCGACTTTTGTGTTGCATATTGTGTCTTTTTTCGTCAATTTCTTCGCAGATCTAATAAAGGTTCATTGGAATGGGCTCTACTATGGTTTGATTGAGTTTTGCAGTGGTGAAGAGTTGGGGGTTCGATCTTCTAAGATCGGACTGGTGGTCCCCGTCGCTTCCATCTGATCGAAGGCTTGTTTTTTCCGTCAGGTCGTAGATCTGAGATCTGGTTGGGAGATTTTTAGTGGGCTTGTAATCGGCTCGGGCTGTTAGGGTTGGGCTTGCGATCTGGGCCGGTTTGTATGGGCTTGAGCTGGGCCCAATTTCAACTCTGGCTCGTGGTTTAATTATTTCTCAATCGGGGTGCTCCTTCTCTTTGCGCTGGCTTAGTACTCTCTTGTTCCGTGAGTATTAGAAGTAGCATTAGTGGTGTTGGTGATCCTTAGCCGTATCGATGGTCATAAATCGTATGGTTTTTTAGTGGTCGTGTTCTATGTAGTGTTGGCAAGTGGTCGTGTTTTAAAAGTTATGAGGAATGGAGTAGGTTAAGATTATCTGGGGTCTTAATTCCAGAGATCTAGGGATACCTCGGAGCTTCAATAATTCTATCGGCTCTGATTTGACATGTCCACTACGCTTTGGTATGGTATTCTTGAGGACGAATAAAGCTCGGGAAGGTGTGGTGATGATGAAGATATTCTTGGGGTAGGTCTTCCCCGATTCAACGACTAAGTTTCCTCGCTCTCTGTATTTTCGAATAAATCTTCTTGCAGCGATGCATATCAACAGCTTTCCCTCACTGATATTTGGTTGAGTATCAACGATGAAGCTTCAGAGTGGTTTGGATCTTTGCTAGTGTTGTGATGGAGCTTCTTTGTTTTAGGTTTTATTGTTGTAATCTTCCAAGTTTTGTTATAGTCTACGGAGTTCCTGCATGTTTGAGTTGATTGGGGATACGAAGCCAACTGTTTAGGAGATGTTAAAGCGACAGAAGGAAGGAACATCTGGTTCATGGACGCGTGAGTCCGATCTCGAGATGTATCTTCCTTAGTTAGTAGAATAACACATTTGTGAATATGTGAAAAAAATAATTTAGGTAACTAACAAAAAGAAGAAAATATTGGACGAAATTACCCCTACATTAACTATTTTCGAAATATACTTACATATTTTATTGAATTCATAGCAGAGTTAACTACATCGCAATGTAACTATCTAAACATACTTACCTATTTTCAGAATATAGCTAAATATTTTAAGAAACTTAGTTAACTATATTCATATAATAATTATTTACTCCACTGATTTTAGAACATAGCGTACTAAATAAAAGTAGAAAAATTTCAAAAAATACCACTTTTCAAGTGAAACTTTTCAAAAATGCCACCATTTCAAAATCTTTGCAAAAATGCTAGTTTTTCAAAATTATTTTTTATTATATAATATATGTTTGGGTTAACTAAATTGTATTAGAGTTTAGTTTTGAGTGTTTAGGGAGTTTTAGGGGTCAAAACATTTTTTAGGTTTAGAATTTTAATATATAGGCTTTATAAATTTATAATTAATGGTATTTTTGCAAATACACATTCCTAAGTGGCATTCTTGCAAATGTGCCACAAAAAATGGTATTTTTGCAATTGCCCCTTAATAATATTGTTGTAATATTTCATTTTTCCCTTTATGTAGGTACATGTCAGTGGAAAACAATAAACCATCTTAAGACGTAAAACAAAATAGCACCATCAACTTTCTCTCTCTAAAAACCATTTCTATGTTTGCTCACTAAACTCTCGTCGCCGTTGAGCGGCTCCGGCGGCTCCGTTAGCGCCGGAGTTGCTTCTCCAGTTTAAGTTTCTTTACTTCTGTAGTTAGATGTTATCCTCTTGTCTGATTTCTTGGGTTTTTAGATTCAGATCTAGAATTTTAGATCTAGTTTTTAGATCTAGATTTTAGATCATGGTTTAGACCTTTTTTAATTGTGCAAGAGGTGGTTCTGTTTGTTTCTAGTGGCCGATGTTGCACAAAGTGCATGATTCAGATGGTTTTAGTCATGGGTTTTATTCTGGAATTTCTCGGTCTTGGTTAGAGCAATCGGTGGTGGTTTATGTCGTTAGCCTTATGCGTAGGCTGCGGTCTTGCTCCTTGGTTGTGGTTGTTTGATGTCGTGGTTGGTGTTGTCTTCGTTTTTGCTTGAGTTCTGGTTCGGTGAGTTGGAATTTTGGAGTTGTTTAGCGCCAGATCGCAAACCTTCGGGGTTTGTTTGACGGTGCGGCATAGCTGCTCACGCTCTGGCTTCGCTTTATCTTTCTTCAACTTGAGTTCTTGTTCTGTTTCATTGATGTTTTGATGTTGATTGTTTATGGCTTTGTTTGCTTGGTGGAGTTCTTGCGGTTCTAAACTTGCAGGAAGCTTCTTATTACCAGCTAGATTTTTGACATCCTCAGCCTCTGTCATCCCTGGCTAGTTCATATCATCTTGATATGCTTTGTGCTTTATCTCTTTAGGAATCATGTGTTTTTGGTTGTTGCATCTTCTCCTAGTCGGTTCTTTTTGTGGATTCCATTCCTTGTTTTCTTGGCTTTAAGGCGAAGAGTTTGATCTCGAGGCAGTTTTCCCTCGCCCAGTCACATGAAGCTGGTGTCACTCTTCTCTTGTTGTCAACAATCAGGTTGCGCTTGTTTGGTCTTCTCTTCGGAAAAGCTATCCCTGGATCCGAGGTTTAGGTGCTCATCTTCTCATTTACCATGATTTCTTTGGAGTACCATTTGGTTTTTTAAGTTTATGTTGTTGTATTTCATCTTTGTTTCGAGTTAGTGTCGGGACTTCCCTATTGTCCTTTGGCTTTTGTTTCTAGAAGATTCGGCAAGGTGTTTGTCCATGTATCACTCCCTCGTATTCCACCAATGTATCCTAACCATGTTTATGGTGAATGAATAAACATATGACAAAAAAAGGTACATGTCATTGAGGTTTTCTCTCAGCTACATTTTCCGATTAGTACTACTCATCGACTATTCATTACGCTAAATCTCAAGTTCATTACGATTAACTCATTGAGCTTTTATTGAAAGGAGACATCGGTATATAATTTCTCAAATCAATCATCATACTGCTTAAATTTGGAGAGTTCTCTGTAATATACATGCTTCGTCTATCCCTTAGGCTTCACTGACGCTCAAAACCTAAAGGATTCAAATCCAAATAAAAGGCCCGAGATGGGAGGGTTGGTTTTGGGCGGTGAATCTGAACATTGGATTTGTATACCTCTCCATCAACATAAGGTTTGGGTTAGGTGGAATTAGTAAGCTGGTAAAGGACCATTCATATTATTAATCCGTACCGTATGACCCTATCAAACATGAAGCTATGTATATGAAATAATCATATAAAAGTCTTTTCCATGTGATATGTTTTGCTATCACTCTTCCACATTTTCATACAATCGGATGACCATTGATACATAGATCCTTCTTTCAAAAACACATATCTTATTGATTCCACATTTTGATGCATTCGGATGACCATTGATACATAGATTCTTCTTTCAAAAACACATATCTTATTGATCCCTTTAGTTTAGAATTTTTTTTATTTGTGTGTCGTTAGTGTTGTAATTCATAGACGATTTATAGCTATTTATAAATATTAATTTAGAATTCAATTTCCAGGATTCGTGTAAATACTATATTAGATCTAGGTTCTATAGTTTCGAATATACCTGGATCAATTGCAGTGGAAAGATGAATCAAATCATATCAAGGTTATGTAGCACTCCAAACGTCGTGCCTCTATCGGTATCTACATGCACACAAACAAGATCAAACGGGATGTTAGTGCCGTAGAAATCTAAATCTCTTGTTATCAACGACAAACTGTTTTGTATTCTTGTATTAGGGTTTATAAGCGGCGACTTAGGATAATCACATTATCATCACGTCATCTTAATATATAGTGCAAGCATTTAATGGGTTGAGCTCAAATGAGGAAGCTATAAGAAGCAATCTTAATTACCTTTTTTTTTCTTTTTACTTTACGTACAC